GTCTTTCTGGAAGGCGGCAAGATGGTGAAGGGATCAGGGAAAAAAAATTCCAAAGTCTTTTTGCCAGAGAAGATAAGGAGGAGCTCCAGCGGCCAGGAGTTTTCTCTCGAACAGGTTAGCTTAACATTTTAATCTGTAATTCAACCTCAGCTAATCATTTGCCCATCTTGTCAGAAAAGTTAGTTCTGCTGTGATCTCATGGAGAAAATTCAGCTGAACTCTTTTTCTCACATAAAAGAGTCACAGACTCCATTTGGTTTAGATGCTATGTCAGCAAAGCGATGAGTGTCCTAGTCCCTGTGCACACAGGAGAAAGGAGCAGGTGGATGAAACACTGACTTACCTCATGAGGTAAGATAATAATGAGAAAGGTCCTCGTTTAAATTGAATGCCCTTTAATCCTCAGACTAGTATAGATTGTTGCACCGCTGGTAAAGTTTCTGAGATCTTTGTTAGTTCTAGTGCAGTTTCACTCTCCCCTCTCCTCCCCTTATGTAACAAGCAGAACAGTTTCTGTCTCTCTCACCGGTTTTGATTTCTTCATGTTGCTGCTCTTTGACTGCATTCAACAACTGGTCTCCTTCTCTTGCCTTTTCTCTTGTTCAACCCTAGTACCTCTTCTCAGTCCTTAACTAGATCTGTTCCTTGTGCTTCTAAGCCCAGTTCCTTTTTCTGTCTATTCTAGAATAGGGAAGAGCAGAATTCAAAATGATATGAGTGGCAGGAGCCATATTGTTGCTTAGGAAGGTGCTGGATGTGGGTTGGTGTCTCACAGGTGTGTGCTGAAGATCTCTAGGAGGTCATTTATAAGGGGGTTCTACCAGAAACCAGGAGGGAAAGGGTTGTGTAGGAACAGTGTGTGTCTCTGTTCTGACTGGTGGACAATGTCTAGACAGTATAGGCTGATAGCTCACTGTTTAGAGCCCAGGACATCCCAAGAGCCAGGTGCTAGCTGATTTGGTGTCTGATGTTTGTTCCGTGTAGATGGTAGTGCCTGCCCCTTCACCTGGTGCAGGAGCAAGCTGGCTACCTCAAGACTCTTTGGTAAGGACACTCAGCTTGTCCCAAGGCATTGATTCATTTGCTACCTCTTAATACCATTTCATTGGGAATTCTCATTCATTAGTTTTAGCATATTTATTTTGAAAGAGACGAAACATTTCCTTGAGTGCACTGCATCAGAGAAAATGAAACAATCTCTGCTGGACTTCACAAAAGCTTTCAAATGTTATCATGCATTGTGGGGAGAATTATTTTGCCCAAAATGTATTTGTTTATAGAGTGCTTGCTTCCCTGGGCAGGCACTGCTGTCTCGAAGGGGATTACTGGCATGAGGCGTGGCGGTGAGCAGGAAAGCGGGACATCCCTGTCTGGGAATTTATGTCCCAGGAGTGGTCCCCAGAGCAAAGAGAAGTCAGTTAGGCAGCGGGTGTCCTAAGAATACTACCCTTTCCAGACCTACTTTTGTGTTATAGAAGAAGAACCAATAATCCAATTAAAGCTTTTCCCTTCAGAATTTCTAAGGAAAAACTAAAAACAAACGAACCTTTAGGAGTTGTATCCTGTCAGCAATTTAAACACTCACTGCTTGTAGGCTCAGTTTAGAGCTTTTAAGGCTACTGTCACTGTTAGCTTTTACTCCCCCTGTGGCCACACATCTTTGAAAACTCATAATTGTTCTTTTTTAGTGACATTTAATGGGTTGAATTGCTGGTCCTGTTTCCTTTATTCTTCCTTTTGACTCCTCAGGCTAGGCAGTGTAAGCACTGATGCCTTTGTTCCACCTGTCTGGGTTTTTTTTTTCCTGACTTTATTCCATGTAATTGGAATGCCCTCTCAGCACTTCTCGTATTGTTTACTGTATTTGTATATGTGTATTTATTTTCTTCCTCCTTCCCTCTCCAGTGCACTTTGCTCTTGCCTACCTGATACCGTGGCACACAGGGCAGTTCACCCTGACTCTGCCTCCTTACCCCAAGTACAAGAGGAGAAAGATACTGTGCCATCTCCCAACTGGTCTCAGTTATGGCGCAGATCAGCATTTGGTGGATAGGTGAACAACAAGATGAATGAAAGACTGGCTACATTTCCAAAAATGTCTTCTGCATCTTCAGTTACTGGTTGCATATTGATAGGTGAAAGGAGCAGAACATTAAAAACAGAAAGATTTTCCAAAATGATGGCTTCCTGATGACATCCCTTAGAAATAAGCAGCAGCAGGCATGTTGCCTGAAGCAGTATTGGCTTTGGATAGTTACACTGCCTTGGGAAGTCCTGACAGCAGTACAGCCTCTGCTCAGAGGAGGCCAGTGAGTTCCACTTTTCAGCTTTTCTTCCCCACCCCCATTTTTTGTTTGTTTGTTTTCTCTTAAAAATTCTATAGGTCATCCTCATCTAAGCCAAACATTTCTCAGTTCTCTGCTCAAACCAGCTTTCAGTTTCTGATGGTTTGTAGTTCTCCAAGTTGGATAGAACTGTCAAAGCCAGTCCTTAATTTAGAGGGGACTTCTCTGAAGTTCACCTGCACTAGTTCCTGGGTGAAAACATCCACCTTCCAGACCATGTCTCACTACGAGTGGCCCCTGTGTCTGCAGTAGAAGAATCGAGTGATTCAGAAGTGAAGGAAGGGGAGTTCATAGGCAGAGATGGAATGTTCAGGGCAATGACCCTAGAGTAACCTTTTATGTTTTGGTGACATAGTACTTCCCATTGCCTACATGTCTGTGCCCTGCTGTGTTGGGCTATAACAGTCCAATAGCCAGAGGAGCGCAGTCCTTTATTCCCCCGATTCCCTCCAAGTTTCGTTGTTGTTAGCTCCCTTCTCAGATGTGAGACGGTGCTGTAGTCAACCTTAGCCAGGTGATCCAGATCTGAGGAATTTTTGAGAGACTGCGGGAAACCTTTTGGTCCCATCTGCTTCCTTCTTCAACCCCACCCCCACATCCTGTCACCTACCACCACATTACATGTAGTCATCTGGCCACTGCATTTGACCTGCATCTGTCACACTTTACACATACCCATTTTAGCAAGGTCACTACAGTATGTGGAGATATCAGTCCCATCCTAGTCAAGGCACCCACAGGGTTGACGTGAGTACAGCATGGTGTTTTTATTAAATTGGTTTCAGTATCCAGTGTTGTAGGGGAGGAATGGGAATCAGGCACCCAGTGCCTGGGGAAAGCAGCAGAGGATGACCTAAGTGCTTGGGCCCCTGCATCCATGGGGGAGTCCCAGAAGAAGCTACTGGTTTCATATCAGCCCAACTCTAGCTATTGTAGTTTGGGGAGTGAAATAGCAGACAAAACGCCTCACTCGCTCTGTCTCTTTAACTCTGCCTATCATAACGGGGGGGGGGGGACCATTAAACACTCTGTGATTATGCACTAAGCCATGATTTGACCCGAGTCCTCGATTCCCATTAACCAGAGGAGAGTCACACGTGACCCTGGTCCCTATGCAGCTAGGAGGGAGAGGGAGGGCAGAACTGTACCGTCCAGCAGGACAGCCAATGCTTTTTGCCTCTTCCAGTGGTTCTGTAAACTTTTTAGCCCCACAAGCATTGCTTCAAATTCTTTTCCTGATGGAAAAAAGTTCTGTTCAGATAGGAAGTGGGTGGGGACCTGGGGACCCTCCCAGTCCTGCTCCTCCACCTCTTTTGATGACATCCCTGAGATCCCCTTGGAACATGGTGGAGCAACTGGATAGCCATGCTGTCCATACGGAGCATTTCACGGGATTTACTCTGCTTATTATCACATTCCTGTTTTCGAAAGAACTCTTTTTGCACAAGAACATGTGATGAAGTGGTTTTTCTAATCCCTAGAAGTTTTGTTTTCTCCCTTCAACAAGTTGGTAGCCACTTTCTTTTGGGGAAAGCATTACCATGCATAACCACCACAGTTGACTTCAGTGCTCACTAAGGAAGCCCAGAACTAATAGTTACATTGTTGTAATTTGACAGAGCCATCTAAATCTAGGCATGTTTTTTGAAAGCTCCCTAAACACGCTGCTAAATCCTTTAAAAAGTTACTAAACTGCTTTGGCAGCCATTAGTCCAGCCTAAGCAGAGGAGCTCTTTTCAGTAAGTGAACAAACAGAGAAAATATGCTGAATAGCTGGACAAATGTGTTTCAGCTGGCCCTTTCATTTACCAATATAAGGGTGCAGTCAATATCAATCACTGTTTTCCCTGTTGCCCTGAAAATCACAATATCTCTTTTCATCCTGCAAGCTCTTTTCACCACAGTAATGTGTCTTTAGAATGACACTGGCATCAGCCCACTTCCTCTGTCTGAAGTCCAGGGAGCTTAAAAACACATTTCAGGATTCTTGAACCTTCCTCCCCTTCCGTTCTGCTACCACCCACTCTCGCCTCCCTCCCTCTGTGTCCACTCCGTCCCCTCCCCAGATTCTTTTCCCAACTTTCCTCACTGAGTAAACAGAATTCACATCTCTTCTAATGCAAGTTTGCAAAGTAAATGTCACAAGCCTGTCTCATGTTCCCAAGATTGAAGGCCTCGGAAAGGGCTCCACATGAAGAAAAGCTCACCCATGCTGATACAGGAGCGTCTGATGGGCATGGTATAAGGACAGGCCATGCTTGTGTGCACAACTGCATCCTTTGAGAGCCCCTCCTTCCTCCGCTGCCCTGTCACACACTTGTGTGCCCCAGGCCATCCCGTGTGACAGTGTATGCAAGTGCACATTGATGCACCTTCACAGTTGGGACCACTGCCACAATGCAGACATTGTGTGGTGCTGATGCATCGTAATGTATGTGAAGGAAGGAGCATATGTTAATATACTAACGGAGGAGAAAGCACTGTATAATTACTTGTTTTCCTTTTGAAAATTTAAGTCCAGTGATTTCAGCAAGAAAGTTTGAACAATTCAATTAGGGCTTTAGAAGGTACTGCAGTTGATTGGAATAATATATTTTTGGAAAAGTATTTATGGTTTTCTTCCTGCATTTGCTCCTCTGTTTTTCTGCAATTCAGATTGTAGCCGTCTGCAGAGAGGCTGCGCTCCTGGCTCTGGAAGAAGATATTCAAGCCAACTGCATCATGAAAAGGCATTTCACTCAGGCCTTGAGCGCCGTGACACCTCGAATTCCTGAGTCGCTGAGACGTTTCTATGAAGAATATCAAGAGAAGACTAAGCCACATGCATTCTGAGAAAATACATGTATTTGTTATGCTTAAAACCCTTTCTTGAGAAAATGTGTTTCCTTTTAAAAATTTGTCTCGAGTCTTAGAAGAAATCCTTGGTATAGACAACGTGTCTGAAGCACACTCACCAGCGTGTGAGTGCTCACTGCAGTGCTTGCGACCATTTGTATCAAAGGCGTGTGATGAGAATATCTGGGCGTGAGCCCAAGTCAGTTTGGATTGAAAATGTGTGCTAAATTTTAAAAAACAAACATTGAGTGTTTTCATTTTCATGCTGGTCCATTCGCAGCACAAAATGATTTCCTTACACCAGAATCTGTTGCAGTGCCTTCGTAAGTGGCAAACCTGTGGGTGCCATTTTTGTAGAACATAGAAATCGTAGGTGAATGAATGCATGCCGAGAAATATTTTCAAGTCTTTATTGTGAAGGCCAGCCAGTGAATATGGTCTTGTTTTCGAATATTTTTGTTTTCATTATAATATACCTACATTTTTTTACTTTAGCCTTCTTTACATGTACCTAGACAGAAATTTAAAAATAACAATTAAGAATCATTTCATATAATATGATAATATAATGCCCTTTGAAAATTTGTACAATTGCAAGTATAAGCCCACTATGTGCCTGGAGTTATGGGCTTGTTTTGTTTTCATAAAAGGCTATAAATAAATGAAGTGTTTGTGTTTTAATTTGCATATGCATTCAGGTTGCAAGTTAAGTTTTCAGTTCAAAGATAATCCTGGTTTTACAATTCATCATGTTGTTTTCTGTTGCACTCTAGATATATTTCTGCTGCCTATAATTTCTTGACCCCTTAAGAAATGTTTCAGAACATGATCCCCTGACTGCCAATCAGAGCTTGCACACAAATTTGATAAGTGTAGATCATTGAAAATTTCCAGAAAGACAAGCCAGGGATTAAATTTCTGATCGTCGAAGTGACAAGCTGTATGGTGCTTAGTGACAGAGACTCTGCACTGACATCTCTTCATCCTATGATTATCAGATTTGAAAGGCAACCTAGGTTTGCTGATATGTAAAACAACAAGACAAAGAGTATTATCTACAACTGCGCTGTTCCGTATAATATGCCAAATATAATGACCACTTGTTACATGTGGCTGTTTACATGAAAATTAAATAATACTGAACATTTCGTTTGTCAGCTTAGCTGCATTTCAAATGCCCAGCAGCACATCTGCAAGTGTCTGCCATACTGAACAGTTAAAATTCAGAATGTTTTCATCAGTCAGAATTTTCTGTTGGATATTGCTAAATTAGAAAATAAGGCTGGGCCCTGCGGCGTGGCCTAGCGCCTGAAGTCCTCACCTTGAATGCGCCGGGATCCTATATGGCCGCTGGCTCTAATCCCAGCAGCTCCACTTCCCATCCACCTCCCTGCTTGTGATCTGGGAAAGCAGTCGAGGACAGCCCAAAGTCTTGGGACCCTGCACCCGTGTGGGAGACCCGGAAGAGGTTCCTGGTTCCCGGCTTCGAATCAGCACAGCACCGGCTGTTGCAGCTCACTTGGGGAGTGAATCATCGGATGGAAGAGCTTCCTCTCTGTCTCTTCTCTCTGTATATCTGACTTTGTAATAGAATAAATAAATCTTTAAGAAAAAAGAAAGAAAAGAAGGCTAACACACTGAAATAAATAGAAACTCAAAATTGCTTTTATGGTTCCCTTTTTCCCTTTAGTGAGTATCTTATATGGGAAATATGAGAAGAGAGGAATGTAGCTTCTTATTAAATACATGGCAGAGGATACAGGAAAATAAGGCAAAAACCTAGCCCCAGGCACTTATACAAGAGAATCAGAAACTGTCACAGTTTAAAACCAGGATAGTGAGCTTGAGAGCAGACGGAGACTCTGGTTTGAGGGCTGACTGACTGGTGGGCAGCATGGGGTGCAGATGCCAGTAGCCACCAGCCCTTCAGCCAGTGTGATACGGGAAGCTATCACCAAGCCAGTCACGTCGTGCCCAACACCTTCACTGAGCCAGTGGAAGCTGAAGAATACCCTGCGCTGCTTTGGCATCCACAGGCAGCCTGTAACTTGGCCTGTCCTTTGGTTTTCAAAAAGGGAGAGAGAAGGTCTTCTGAGAATTCTAAGGACTGAGCTTCCCACTGCCTTCAAATGCACAGAATTGGAGAGCCTACATGTTAACAGGAAAACATGGATCCAAGCCAATTTCAACAGCTAATAGCTTACAAAGGCTTTGTAATCACAAAGATGCTGGGAGCATGAACTGGTACAACCATTTTGGGAAAGCATATCTAAGTAGTATTGAAGAACCTATAACCTGACAATTCTTTTGATGTAATATTGCCTGCAGCATGTATGCAATTAAGAGGAAAGATTGTACACTATTATTTGAAAGGGATACTAATAGCACTCTAAATATCTACCAATAAGAAAATGAGGTCATTCTCCACTGGTTTCCCAGGCCATAAACAGAGAGCTTGATAGGAAGTGCAAATGCCAAGATATGAACTGGCACCCCTGTGGGATCCTGGTGCCACGGGGCAGAGAATTAGGTGGCTGCCATATTGTGCCAACCCCAAATCAATGAAAATTTTTAGAACTACATATAAGTAAGTATATATAATTAAGCAAATGAAACTCAAAGCTGAGCAAAAGGAGAATATCTTAGAATAATACTTAGGGTAGTTAAAAGTTTAAAGCATGAAAAAAATCATGCATGGTGTTTCAGATATATGTATAGTAAAAGACTACATGGATAGAGGTGAAAAACACCAGATTATCCTCCGGGGGAGAAAGTTAAGGCACTTCAATTATATCAGTAATGCAGCATTCAGTTCTAAAACAGGGTGATGGGAATGCAAGTTCTTACAATATCTTGTCTAATCATCCAGTTTACTTTTGTGAGTTTCTGTTGCAGTCCACAGTGCCCACCACCCCATGTGTGTAGAAAATCACTGAATACAGTGGAGTAAAATGCAAGGTAATAACGGACCAGGCTTTAAGAACCCAGGAAACAATTTGAGGGATTGTATTGTCAGAGTGCAGGCAACACCTGCCTTGTACCTTCGGAAATCTTAAACATGACAGTGATCTGTTTCCTTAGCACTGTGGTTGTGCTAAGGAGTTGAGCACTGTAGCTTCAGTTGATTATAAACCAGTTTCTTTTGTATCTCCAGATATCCATTTCCTAACCACTAGAAAGGCATGCTGCTCCTTTGAAGTTTGTACATTTTCTCAACAGTACCCATAGAAATCTGAGTCACATAAAAGAGTGGGTCAGATGTTACTAAATGCTGGATAATTCAGCTGCATCTCCACAAGGATTTTATTTCTAATTTCAAGAGTTCTGTATTTATGATTTTAAAATAGCATATGACCATGCTATATTTAAGTTTGCTTGTGATGGAATACATGATGTAGTAGATGGAAAACTTCAGTTAAGCAAGGAAAGAAAATGATTAGCTTCCTGTCTTAGGGAGTCAGTTCACTTTTTGGCATCTGTTTGGTGAGAAGATCACCTTTGGCCCAGATCCTTTTGGAGAATCTAGAATGTTCATGTTGACTTTTTAGCATTCAGATAAATTTAATTTTAATAGCATAGTAAATTTTTTTGTAAAGATTTCTCATTTCAAATGCGGAGTTACAGACAGAGTGGAGGCAGGGAGAGACAAAGGTCTTTCTTTCCATCTGCTGGTTCACTCCCCAGATTGCCACAATGGCCAGAGCTGAGCCAATCCAAAACCAGGAGCCAGGAGCTTCTTCTGGGCCTTCCTCATGGATACGGAAGCCCAAACATTTGGCCATCTTCTGCTGGCTTTTCCCAGACCAGTAGCAGAGAGCTGGATCAGACGTGGAGCACCCAGGAGTCTGACCAGAGCTCATAAGGGATGCTTATGTTTTCAGGCAGTGGCTCCACCCACTATGCCACAATGTCGGCCCTAGTTTTTTTCTTCTGAGACTTAAGAAAGCTTCTAACTTACATTTCGTCATGACTGAGAAACTGTACTAACTTAACCTGAAAAACATTAGTCCTGACTTAATATCATATCTAAAAGGGGCTTTGAAAATAATGGGGTTTTGCATTTTTGAAAAATAACTGATTTTGTAGATGGTCCAAACAAATCTGTCTTCATCTGGGAGAAGGCAACAGGAAATACAGAATGCAGTTATTTCAGTAGTTTCTTAATTTAAATTCCAGAATTGTGGAGGTACTGGAGTCTTTGTCATGTTTCCCTAAGTCCTTCCTTTGACGATGAGTACACTAAACTATTTTGTTAAGTTGTGTATGGATATGCCAACACTGGTTTCTAACTGTCGTCCACATAGAATTCAACAGCCAAAATGTATTATCTGCCATTTTTCTCTGGAGATGTGATCAAGGATCTTGATTATCCTGTATTTTCCAGGCAGGCCCAATGAAGAAAAGGAAGGCAAATAAATATATTGATTTATGTTTATATTTATTTACTTATCTTACTATTAATACTTTGGGTGTGTCCCCACAACTATTAAACTCTCTAGGGAGAGGTAACCCCTCATCCCCAGGAGTGGTTCAGAAGGGAAGGCAGCACAACAGGGACCCGCCGCCGCCTCGGCAGAGGGACTGCGTGGAGGAAACTGCTGCCTGTGCTGCGCAGGCGCACAGCAGGCAGAGTGGGCACAAGGCCACAGAGCCACCAAGGCACCCTGTGCGTGTCTGCCTTTTTCTGCTTCTGCTGCACAGCAGCCCTGTAGGCACACAGTTCCAAGAGCTTCAGGTTCTTGAAGTCCACATCCAGCTTGCATGCGCTCACAGGGTCATTCACATCTTTTGCATACGTGGCAGAAGTTATCATCCCAGACCCAGTTAGCCCCATTGGGCTCTGATCATCCAAGCTCAGGTTTTCCTGGGTTTGTTTCATAAGAGGAGATGCAAACAGGGTGGCAGAGGTTTTGGGAACAATTGGTGCAAGGAGTCTAGAAGGGAATGAGAAAGGCCTTAGGCTTTCTGAAACGCCAAAGGCTGGAAACCGCCCTGGCAACATGTTCACAGAACTGCCATATTGACTGCAGAAAGAAGAGGGTTTCAAAGATATAAGTGGGAACAGAGGCCTGAAGCGGGAGGTTGAGAGGAGCTGTTACACCAAAAGGGCACAGCTTTCCCCTGTTCTAGTCCCATTTCATAGAATTATGGTGCTTATTTGTTATAGCAGCAGTAGGAAAACTAATACAGTCTTGTGAAAGAAAACAAAATCAGAGGTATCCAGAGTTAGAAGCAACCACATTTTCTTAACATGGTGGTATGTGCAAAAGTTCATTCAGATCCTCCACCCAATCACTGCAGTGTTACTTAAACTCCTTAAGAGCACAAAAAAAAAGGATGTTTTCCCAACTTTGTTAACCACCCCTTTACAGGCCATCGCGCCGGGCCCGAACAAAGTTGTTGAAGAGCATTGGATTTGGTTCCTTAAAGTTCATAAGTGGTAAGGGCCCTGGCACCATAGCCTAGTGGCTAAAGTCCTCACCTTGCACACCCAGGATCCTATGTGGGCACTGATTGGTTCTAATCCCAGTGGCCCCGCTTCCCACCCAGCTCCCTGCCTGTGGCCTGGGAAAGCAGTCACGGACGGCCCTATGCCTTGGAACCCTGCACCTGTGTGGGAGACCCAGAGGAGGCTTCTAGCTCCTGGCTTTGGATTGGCTCA